CTGCAATGCTAGAGGATATTCCCAACTATAATTAAGGGGCATGTCCAGTGGTACTCAGGGGGACCAGGGACCATGCAACATCAGGAATCAAAGCCAGACCTCCCACATTCAAAGAAGTGCCCATTCATTGAGCTATCTCTCTGGCCTCATTTTAAATACACACCATATAAAGACGGGTGGAAATAACTTTTTTTGAAAAACCTTTAAACATATCTAATAAAATTATAAACTACAGCTGCTGTCCTCCCGTTGTTCATCAATTTGCTCGAGCGGGCCCAGTAACGTCTCCATTTTTTTTGAGACTTGTTACTGTGTTTGGCATATTGAATATGTCACGGGTAGCTTGCCAGGCTTTGCCGTGCAGGCGAGATACTCTCGGTAGCTTGCCGGGCTCTCCGAGAGGGGCGGAGGAATCGAACCCGGCTCGGCTGGGCTGGCTGCATGCAAGGCAAAAACGCCCTACCACTGTGCTATCGCTCCAGCCCAATAACATTATATTCCAAAGAAATTTTGTTACACACTGGCAAACTTTGCATCTTTTTCTCAAATTTTCAGCAGTCACATTTCTCTTAAGTTCAGTCCCATTTCTCTACTTTACGATCTTAATAAAATGACCATAGGCTCCAATTGGCCCAGGAAACTATTATTTTTACCAGCTGCCCGAGAAGTATATAATACTTTCACTCTCAAAATTGTTAATTCCAGGTTTGAACAGGGGTATAATAGATAAGACGTTAGTCTTACATGCAGCTAACCCAGGTTCAATCCCAGGTATCTCTTATGGTCCCCCAAGCCTGCCAGGAGTGATCCCTGAGCACAGTGCCAGGAGTAAGTCACGATCACAACCAGGGGTGGTCCAAAAACAAAAAAACAAATTGTTCTAAATTTGAAAGGCCAGTTATATGGCCATCCTAGCTATTGCAAGAGTTCAAATGACCTAAATCATAAGTGTAATGAATTTTATGAGCAGTCTGAATTATTTCACTGAAAAATCTTTGTAATCGAAAAAAATACTGAGTCACATGGAGTCCTGCTATTTACAAAGATGTTACTTATGTAAGTAACTGTACATACTTAAGTACGTACAGTTACTTACAGCACTCAGAACAGTATCACCCAAATTCTGTTGCTGCCTAAGGCATCAGCTTTCTGATGTGTGTGTTTCACACCCAGGATTGTCAGCATACTTCTGTTGTTAGGTAGTGAAAAAGGCTAAAAAGATCCTTTTCTGTTAGCTCCATACCAATTCATCAAATTACATTCCAAAGTCCCCAGAAAAAAAATGTTTCTATAGCTTAATCAAATTATTATATTTTAGTGTATATAATTACAGATATTTACTTTTGCTTGTCTTTTTTTACGCACATGTTAAAACACCTAACTATATTAAGCACATACTTAGAGTTAATTTAATAATATATTTGTGGCCATTTCTATATAAAAACTTAAGGTCTTTCCATAAAAGAAACCTAATGACTCTTTTAACAATATGTATATATCATGCCCTGATACACTATTACTTTTATAAGGAAATCAGACTTGACATAATGGATTTCAGAAAATGGCCTTGGGTTTAAAATCCAAAAGATCTGACCTCAGAATAGGATATTTTATGAGACAAATATAAAAATTCCCTGAGGCACAAATTCCTCGTCTATATGTAATCTTGAGGCTACACTGGATTACAAGAATTTGAATCATAAAATTCAAGTAGCTTAATATAGTACAGCCTACAGTTTTAAAAAGATGACCAAGCATAAGACAAAGTGAATTTATTTAACCCTATCAGAAATAACTATTATCTTGAAATTTTTAATATAAATGAACTATTTAAAAAGCACATAATACCATCCACACATAAAAATCTGTGAATAGCTAAAATCCTTGAGAATCAAACTAAGAATCCTAATCCCAGCATCATCACTTACGCCAGCTGTGTAGCAATGAGCAAATTGCTTAACAACTCCAAGTCTGTTTCTTCATTGATGAAATGAAGCTATTACAGTACTTACCTGACTGCAAGAAATAACAAATTATCTACGTAAAAGATATAAATTCTGTACCTGCATACAGTAAGTGCTCAATAAATGCTATCAATGTCTTTTCAAAATCAACTTATACTGTGAAGAAACAGTATTTCATGTTTTTCTGTATTAAAAATAAATTCATCTTGGTATGTTTGCTAAATAATGTCATTCTAAAAATAATAATAATAATAATAATAATAACTTATATAGGCCAGGGAGAGAGTCCTTATAGATACTGCTCTTGCATAAGACTGACCCAGACTCAATCCCTAGCACCCCAGATATTCATTTCAATCTCAACAGGAGTGATCCCTAAGCAGAAGACCAGAAGGAAATCCCGAGCATCACCAGGTATGGTCCAAAAACAAAGAAATTAAGTCCTAAAACTTTGATATCAAAAGAAAACTGTACATATGTGTGCATTTTTGTTTATGCACATCTGTCCCCAATTAAAGATCATCTGGAAGACACTCCTGGTACTCACATGTACATGTTAAAAATGCAGGCTATGGGGCACAGAAATGGCTCAATTGGCTGAGCGCACGCTTGGACTGCAGAAGGCCTAGTTTTACCCCCAACAACAAATGGTCCCCCAAACACCACCAGGAGTGACCTCCTGAGTACAGAATCAGGAATAACCCTGGGTACTGCTACAAAAGGCAAAGGAAAAAGAAACAAAGGCACACACTGGGTATACTATCACGACAACTAATAAAGTAGATCTGGAGAAGCAGTTTTCTACTGAAGAACTATAGTATTATGGTATAGTGAAGCACTCTAGAATACTTCAAAATCAAATTTTGTATCTAACAGTATCTGTGGTCATGCATCTAGAGAACTAAAAAGTTACAGGTATGTCCAGTATACACATTTTTTAATTCACATATATAAATTAAAGCAAACTATTTCTTCTATGACAAGAATATGAAAAAGCTAAAGCAGTATTACAATTTAGCATTCATATGCTCAGCATTTCAAAATAAGAAATTTTGGTATATACATGCATATTTTACAGGTCTACAGTGACGACTGAGTACAGAGAACCATTTTTACTACATTTTAACAGCACGTTGATTTGAAGTGTACAATGTGTGCCTATGAACTGTTCAAACTGTAACATGCACAGTAATTCACTGCAAGCACAAACTAAAGAAAGGCCACAGGGTGCTCTTTTAATCAAACTACTATGTTGCGGGGCTGGGGGTAGAGAGGGGATATGGCATTAGCAATACGGTGCACTTACTCCTGGCTCTCTCTGCTCAGGGATCACTCCTAGTGGTGCTTGGGGGATGGTACACAGTGCCAGGACTGAACTGGGATTAGCCATGTGCAAGGTAAGGACCTAAACCCTTGCACTATCTCTGACTACCAACAATTAGGTTTTTTTCTTTTTTTTTTCTATTTTGGGTCACACCTGGCGATGCACAGGAGTTACTCCTGGCTCATTACTCCTGGCGGTGCTCAGGGGACCATATGGGATGCGGGGAATTGAACCCGGGTGGGCCGCGTGCAAGGCAAACGCCCTACCCACTGTGCTATCACTCCAGCCCCCAAATTTTGATTCCAGTGTTCAACCTTCTCGTGGAGTGTTCAACATGGAGACAAGCACCTGTCCTGCACAACAGCACAAAGACTAGCAGTTACAAGCATGGCAGCAAACCAGTGGTTTTCACCCCTTCTACACCTATGGATCTCAGTGTCTAAAAACAAGTAGTTGAAAACAACTGCCTTAACCTATGCATTATATCCATTCCATGAGAATCCTGATAACTGTACTATCTTACAAAACAGAAGGAAGAAATACCTGATGTGGTTAAAGCTTAAAACCACATTGGAGAATAGTAGCTAAAGTTAGAGAAATTACAGCTGTATTGTAAAGACCCCTGTCCATTTTAGTTCAATACAATAAAGTAATATGAGTCAAGATGTGAAACAAATGTCATCAGGGCTGACATAAAAATCTATAAACATCATGCTGTTTTCCAAATACACATAAAATGAGAATTTAGAAAGACAAAGGCTACATCAATCAAATTTATATCTTAGGGATCCAAGTCTAAGTTGAACTTCATTTCTCTGAACCTTCCAAAAAATATTCCAGTAGTAAAAGAGATCTGCCACTAAAATAAAGTAACCAGGACTCCATTGTTTATTCTAAAGCAAGTAAGAAATACAGACCTGCCCTTCAGAGACACAAAGGATAATGTGCGTCGAGGCTTACATGTTCCACTTCCGTTTACAGATGACAGGCTATACCATTAATTTCTAAGTGACTCTACAATGAGTATTCACACAACACAAACATTCTATCACCAGTAACCCTAAACAGGTAAATTTAAATCTAAACAAAGCATAACTGAAATTTTATCTCTTTCATAAATTACTAGAAGAAAAAAATTCCTGGGAATTGCACTGAATATACTTTTGCCTTAGAGCTAATACTTAATTTTAAAGAACCACAAAGAAAAAAATCAAAACTAGTCAGTAACAATGCAGCGTCTAAAAGCAATAAACTCAAAATTAAGTTATAAATAATTTAAATCATGTCATGAAGATGTATTAATAATTCATCAGATAAATAATTTACTAAATAATCAAATAAATAAATAATGAAATACATAAATAAATCAGCAAATAAATAATTCTGCAAAATAACCTAAACAATAAGTCACCCTAACAAATCACCAACCTACAAAACTACAATGATTTTCTGAATTCTGATAGTTTTAAATAAGCAAATGTACATAACCTAGATCAATCCTTGTTAGAATTAGAAATATTTTTCATTGCTATCAGTAAAATCTTCACCTCAAATATGTATAAGGATACACTTTCAATTTTTAAAGGACTGCACAGATTAAGCCTAGTAAGTTATTGACTTGATAAAAACATATCTTTTATATTTTACAAATAATATCTTTACCTAACATATTTCCCCCAAACAAGTGGATATTTAAAATATTCTTCACTTACACTTGTTTTTGAAGACTTACTACATAGCAGTGCTATAGTCTTCTGACAGCTTTCCAATCTTCACCAAATCTTTGGAAATTTTCTGCAGGGGCAAAATAGTAAGAATAGCCTTAATTATTACAATGGCATATTTATTAGTGAATACTTATACTTCTACAAAATAGCAATGAAAAGTAGCCATTATTAGCTGTAAACTACACTGTTTTTCAAAGTCTTCACTGACAAGAAGGCAGTTTCCTATATTGAAATCAACATACAAACTGTTATAATTGGCAGAATTTAAGATGTGAAGGTTAAAACTTCAAAGGACAAAATGATTGGCAGACAGCAAATGCTATTCTCAACCTGAGAAACACAAAGTCCTAAAAGGAGAAATGAATGAGATCGCTTAACGTCACAATGTGAATGCAGTGACAACCTAATTAGGAGTCTGAACGATGGATTTCTTCGTTGAACATGTTAAGTTCTAATCTACCCACAATATTCTTGAAATCCATTACATCTCCAAGTAACTACTTTCCCCAAAAAGAACTCTGCCATGGGTTTCTGACATTTTCAAGTGGAGAAATTCAAGTGCTACCACACATCTGATGGTAAAATTATCAAATTATTTTATATAATGTTGCTCAATGTCTTTTATGCCTGCTTTCAAAGCAAGTATGCCGTAAAATTTACTTTACTGTCACGGAACCAGAGGATCTTAGAACTATGCCCACTGTCTTGTCTTCAAGCACCAGGAGACATTCAAACTTGAACACAACTCCAAAGTCGAGCTCATGAAACTATGGCAGCCTGAAACTGGAGCCCAATCTACACAACATGGCAAATCATAACATTTACTCATCCTCATCTGGGGGCTTTGTGTCCTGGAAATATCTGGCACCGTCTAGAGACATTCAGGGCTGTCACATGGAGGATTGCCACTGTCCTCGCAGGGCCACTGGTCAGGAATCTTGCTGAAACATCAGCAAAACTTTAGAGGAAGCCACAACAAAAAAGTAGCCCTTTGCTCAGAGAGTTACAGTAACTCTGGGTTACAATGAAATGGTTTGAGTAGTATAAGGTTTTCCCAACAAGAAAGTAATACAGCTCTGGGATGCAGACGTCAAGTTTTCCATGTATAACAAACGCAACACATGATGGAATACCGTGGATGAAAATGTGCATATTTGGAATGGAAAAGAGGTATACAGGAATTTCCCGCACTTCCAGCATAATTCTACTTTGTGAAACTCAACCTGTTCAAAAAGGTGATCTCAACATTTTCAACTATCTCTATGTATTTCGTTAATAATGAAACTTTCTAAAAATTAAAACTTTAAAAATAGGTCAACAGGGGGCTGGAGTGATAGCACAGCCAGTAAGGCAGTTGCCTTGCCTGCTGCTGACCCAGGTTCAATTCCCAGCATCCCATATGGTCCCCCGAGCACTGCCAGGAGTAATTCCTGAGTGCATGAGGCAGGAGTAACCCCAGTACATCGCCATGTGTGACCCAAAAAGAAAAAAAAAAGTCAACAGTAATAATAAATGTTTTTATAGTTTCTCCAGCAAAGTTAATATGCAAGATTTGAAATTCCACTTAGAAATCAAGCCTATTAAAGGGACTGACTAGAAATTTAGCAGCACTGTAGCACTGTCCTCCCATTGTTCACCAATTTGCTTGAATGGGCACCAGTAATATCTCCATTGTGAGACTTGTTGTTACTGTTTTTGGCATATCGAATACGCCATGGGGAGCTTGCCAGGCTCTGCCGTGTGGCGGGATATTCTCGGTAGCTTGCCAGGCTCTCCAAGAAGGACGGAGGAATCAAATCCGGGTTAGCCGCGTGCAAGGCAAACGCCCTACCTGCTGTGCTATCGCTCTGCCCAGAAATTTAGTAATATTAAAAATGTCTAGGGCGAGGAGGGAGTATTCTTACAAAACACAATCTTAAATCTTCCAACAGTTTTGCTATTGCTGTAGTTGTTGTTGGGTTTGGGACCACACCCAGCTGTGTTCCAGGCTTACTCCTGACTCTGCACCCAGAGACCTCTCAGGGCAGGGCTTAGGGAACTACATGGGGACCAAACCTGGGTCAACCACATGCAAGGCAAGTTCTCTACCTGCTGTCCTATCTCTTCAGCCCCCACCTGCAAAGGAGCCCACACCGGGCTCAAATTCGCAGATTTCCGCTTACAGTGTATAAACTACAACTGAGTACTCAGGTCTTTCCTAACCACTTGGGAAGAGAGGAAACATACTCCAACACTGGCCATAAAACTGAAGTTGATTTTCCCTAGAAGAAACAGAATGAATCTTTCAGGGCAAATTACGAGAGGCAGATTACAGAAGAGGTTATAGTCATATAGAGAATATAGGCAACGTTGTTCAAAACTGTATTAGATTCACAGCAAAATGCATATTTTTCCTATACACACAGTAAGTACGTGAACAGGAGAATGGTTAAATTTGGAAATAATCTCAGAACAGAATACTATGCAGTCTCAGGCACAATGGAGGCAAGTGTGGTTCACTTAACGGTGGCAGATTTCCAGGGGGCGCTGAGTGGTCTGTTTTGTTGTTGTTCTTGTATATGTGTTGTTCTTGTTTTTAAAGAGGGAGCAGTAAGTCAAATACATTTTTGGAGACTTTGCCACACAGTCAAGTTTTAACATTGAAGAATTTTACTGATATGGGTCCAGGAGACAGCTCAAAAGGCTAGAGCCCATCATTTGCATGCAAGCTACCTGGGTTCAATCCCCGGCAGACCACGGTACCCCTGGAGTGAGCCCCACACAATGCTGAGTATAGCCCCCAAAACAGTATCACGGTATCACGGTCCTCCTGTTGTTCATCGATTTGCTCGAGCAGGCCCAGTAACGTCTCCATCATGAGACTTGTTATTGTGTTTGGCATATTGAGTACGTCACAGGTAGCTTGCCAGGCTCTGCTGTGCGGGCGGGATACTCTCGGTAACTTGCCGGGCTCTCTGAGAGGGGCAGAGGAATCGAACTCCGGTCGGCCACGTTGGCTGCGTGTAAGGCAAACGCCCTACCGCTGTGCTATTTTTACTGATATGAAAAAATGTTTAAAACAGTAAATGAAAAACATAGTCTGAAAATATCTTATAAAATAACCATCACGATCATGATCACGATCATCCTGTTGTTCGTCGATTACCTCGAGCAGGCAGCAGTAACGTCTCCTTCTTTCTAGCCCAGAGATTTTAAAAGAGCCATTTAAATGCTCTTTCAGGGTTAGGAGAACGAGACTCATCATTGTTACTGGTATTTGGCATATTGAGTACGACACGGGAAGTTTGCCAGACTCTGCCGTGCGGGCAGGATACTTCCGGTAGCCTGCAGGGTTCTCCAAAGTAAGAACGAGATAGTAAGATGTCACGGCCAACATATATAACCATATTTTATATAAATATACTGACACAGAGAGACTGATATTTAAACATATAGGCATCTATCTTATACTTACATACCTGGAAAAAATAAGACTATACCACAACATCGGCAAGCTACCAAGAGTATCTCGCCCACCAATAGTATCTCGCCCACACGGCAAAGCCTGGCAAGCTACCCGTGAAGTATTCGATATGCCAAACACAGTAACAAGAAGTCTCACAATTTGTTAGGAGACGTTACTGGTGCCTGCTCGAGCAAATCGATGAACAATGGAAGGACAGTGCTACAGTGCTACCACAATTTAAACTATGAAGCTAACCAAAATTATGAGAAAAGATAAGGTTTTCAAACTGTAATCAATTTTCTTTTTCACCATAATCTTTGTTTCTAATTTTCCTACAATGAACCCATTATGTTTAAGATACTTTTATGAAGAGTTTGGTCTATTTGAGGTAAATCACCTTATATATAAGTCACCAGATAAAAACAGATTCGAGTTTCAATTTATTTTCAATTTTGCTTTGTTCCTTAGAATGTTTTGATTAAAAAACAGTAACAGGTGGAGAAAAAAATCTATAACTGAGCTACATCTCTTCTAACTGGAGCAAAACATTCGTGTTTCTCTTTAGACAGTAGTGAGAAGCTAATCTCTCTGTGGCCAACTTGTTTTCAACTTACTAATATTCATATATCACATTTGTCAGCTTCATACAAGTCATTTCTAACCAGATGCTACATCCATCACTTCTAACAATTTACTCTGACATATTGATTACTTTGCTCATCTCATTCTGAGGAACTAATCATTCGTACTTTGTGCTTCTACGAATTCTTCCTCTTTCTACATTTCTCAGTCTAATTTTTTGCTACTACTCAACACACATTCTTTCTAGGTATAGAAGGAATACAGCTAACAAAATGTATACCATTTTTATATCTTGATAAGAAATAATATTTTGTACCTTGTATTGTCTTGTGTTCTCTAAAAATATAAACTGGGTATACATACTACTGCTATATAACTAGTAATTCAATTGTCTACAAATCTCATAATTACCAAAGTTTCATAATTCAATCACTTCAAAGGTCTTTGCCTCATCTAGAGAGATTCAACTCCCTAAACTGTTATGACTACCACATGAAAAATGGTAAAATAACAGAGTTAGTAGTTGATGTACTTAACACTACTAACAAGTGTATACAGCTGACCAAAACAGCAAACAAAAAATGTAACTCTATGGTCCTTACCTGCTAAAACACACACACACACACACACACACACACACACACACACACACACAACACACCACACCACTTTGGAAAGAAAGATAAAAAATCATAATCAAATGAACTATAAGGCAAATGTATAGTCCATACTATATGCACCACAGAAATTGCAGAGGGTAAAAGCCACAGTAGGCAGGAATAATCAGAGAAGACTCTTCAACTGAGAGGCTGGAAAAATGGTTCTTAACTATGGCAGTGGGAGTGCCCGTGCTCACCCTCCAAAAAAAGAGCATTTGACAATGTTTGGACACTTTGGCTTGTTACAAACGGGAGGTTATTATTTGCATTTAGTAAGTAGAGACCACAGAACCTGCTAAGCTTCCTACAGTGACCCTCACAAGACTATGTATGTTCACTCCAAAATACTAACAGAGCTAGAACAAGTTGGAAGCCAAGGTA